ATGACTGTAAATCTCAAAGAAGGCAATGATACAATGCTGGTTCATGAAGAAACCATTACTAAATGGTATTATCAGAATTTACAACCATCATCCTTTAGGAACTGTATAAACACCTTTTTGTTTTCCAAAAAGCAAGAAAGTTTATTTTGGGAATTACTGTAATGCAAAAATCCAATCTCTTATATTTGTCTATGGAATTTGCAGAAAAGCATAGAATGATATACAGCACAATAGAGAAATACAATGATCAAATGCATGGTTGAGCTGTCTTTCTTGATAGTTTCACCAGACCTGTGATGCCCATAGGATTGATCCTGCATCTTTAGAAGGTGAACAAAATACAATAATTGTTGGAATTTTTTATCCATACAAAATAAAGATTGAAAAGAGAACAGAGGGGAGGGCATCAGCTCAAAAGGCTGAGGAACTTTCCCCACCCAAAAAGAAGGGATAGAAAGTACAGATGTCCCAACAAAAGCCAACAATGAAACCCAGTGACTAAAGAAAATATAGAACAGGAAAAGAGAAAGCATGCTTGAATATCATTTCACCTCCCAGAAAGAACCGTTTAACAGTAGCTCCTCCATTTATTCCTTTTCCCTGACATTTAGTAACTATTAATGGTAAAAACGAAATGAGACAAGTTGAAACCACTTGGATACAAAACACCAATGCTGGCAGCCTCTACAAGACCTCAAGCATCTATAATAAAAAGCAGCATTTCAAGTCTTTTTTGTTCTACTTTCTTCTAATATATTAGGAAGACAAACAATAACAGTATGTTCCTGCAACCCAAAAAAAAACAGTAACAGTGGTTTCCAAAAAGGCTTCATTAAGGAGAATGGTGTCTTATGATTTTGGTTCCATCTTCTGCCCATGATAAGACTATACTTCTCCAAACAAGAGAGAAGTAAATTGCTTGAGGTGATAACTCAAAATGGATTAAATCATCAGAGTAGCTGTGTGCCCAATGTTTAACACGCATAACTAAATCTGTGTATTTCAACCACCACAACATCAAGTGTCCCCCCCCCCCCAAAAAAAAAAGGTCATAATCTTTATCCAAAGTTCTAGGAGATAGACAAAAATTATACAGAGAAAGAAGAATCAATTAGCAGTTGGTGGCACATGGCCCCAAGCTAGAAAATGGGAGGATATTTTTGTTGCAAAGATGATGTATAAATAAAAAAAGTAATCTCAGTCCATTTCATATTTCTCTCGTTTGAATTCAAGTATAAAGTATGTCCAAAATTCAGTAGTTGGGTGAGCAAGAAGTTTATCATGGGGATTAGAATACCAGTTAGTACATGCATTCAGCATATGGTTTGAGGCTAACAATCATAAATATGTCCTCACCAGAGAGAATACTTATAGATTGTCTCTACCATATACTAGTGCTGTCATTTGTATTTGGTCTTTGTGCTTATTCCAATTGTTGCAAGTTTAATGAGAAACCAGACTCATGCAGGGAGTCAGCTTAAAACTCAAAACATCCTTTTAGAGGATAATTACATCTGGGACTTCTATCACTAATTTTATTAGGCAAGTGATATGAGCATCTTTCTTTATTATGCATGATATAAAGACAACAAAAATAGAAAAGTACCATGTTAATATTTGGGTTTTTGAACTATTTTTATGCAACAGTGAGCAACTTTGTCTTGACAATTATCATTATTGAGAAGGGGTGCCCAAATGCCTTTTTTTTTTTCTTTCAGCACTTATCTCTTATTTATTTGCGCTGATCATGGATGAATTTACTAAATATATTCAGGAGGAAGTCCCATAGTGTATGTTGTTTGCTGATGACATCATTTTAATTGATGAAACTAATGAAAGATTAAATGCAAAGTTAAGTTTATGGACAAATGCCTTAGAAACTAGAGGTTTTAAAGTAGGACTAAAACAGAATATATGGCATAAATTTAATAACAATGGGAGTGCAAATCAGGGTACACTTGGGATTGGAGACCAAGAGATGACTCAATGTGACCTTTTTTGGTACTTTGGTTTGATAAATTCGTAACAAGGGAGAAATTGAGGAGGATGCCGCCTGCCCATAGAATTAGAACATGATGGGCAAAATGGAAGGGTGCATTTGGAGTTTTATGTGATAAGTGAATACTACTTAGATTCCTCTTATAAAACAGTTGTAAGGCAAGCTATTTTGTGTGGAACATAGTGTTGAGCAATCAAGAAGAAACATGTCCATAAAATGAATGTCGAAAAAATGCATACACCGAGATGGAGGAGTGGGAAAACTAGAATGGATAGGATCAGCATGAAGTCATTCATAGAAACTTAGGAGTAGCTCTAATAGGTGATAAAATGAGAGAAAATTGACTAAGATGGTTTGGTCATGTGCAAAGAAGTTAGAAGACCATCAATAGCAGCCATAAGAAGAATTGATTTATTACAAGTTGAAGGGGCTAAAAGGGCAAGGGATAGACCAAAAAGGACATGGGTAGAAGTAATAAGAAAAGATTAAGTGCCAATAATTTAACAATGGATATGGCATTAAATAGAACGGACTAGCATCTAGCGAAACAGGATTCATGTAACTGCCCCCACATAGTTGGGATAAGGCTTGGATGATGATGATAATAACATTTTTTTTTGTATTCATTTAAAAAACAAAAAAACTGTAGAGTATATACATTGCATCCATGTGTACCTGAGGATAAACAGAAATAGTAAATGCCCTATTTGTCCCTTACCATTAAAAAAGGCCATTACCCAATGTTGGTCTCAGTTATCTGGGGTCTTGGGAGGGGTGGGCTAGATACAGACCTAATATTTGCCTTTTTTTTCCATAAATGACTGCTGTTAGACTATTTGTCCTTTACCAATTATCCAAATAGATTTTCCTACACAAAAAAAAATAAAGTATAAGTTATTCCCATACCAGCAGACAACAGCCTGCCAAGAATAAAAAAATCAATACAATACACCCCATACCAGTGGATCCTGAAACACATGGATACACCGATACAGAAAAGGTTTGGGGACTTTAACAGAATCCCTCTAATACCTATAAAATAAAATAAAAAAAGAAAAAATAAATAAAGAAGGAGTATCACCCATATCGATTACTGCAATACCTACTTGTGGGTATAAGGTGTATCAATATTTTGATCTTTGCAACCTGCAACACCAAATATGCTTCTCACCCAGGTCCAGAGATACCCTGTGAAACTACAATGCAAGAAGACATGGTTAACTGACTACACAACACGCATGCAGTTCACCACACACCTCTTATCTGTACACAGTCCCTTGTCAGGCATCTATTTAATGCAGCTAACCATAAAAGGAAAGCCACCTTTGAGGGAGGTGCAGAGAACCATATTTTGGAAGATTGAAAGCTGGTGGTATTTGTAGTCACTAGCTTTTTGTGAAAAGATTGAAAAGCTGTTTCCAAGGGTTCAAACCTTGGAAACAGCCTCTCTGTATGTGCAGGGGTAAGGCTGTGTACATCTGTCCCTCCCCAGTCCATGCATTGGCGAGAACCTTGTGCACTGGGCTGCCCTTTTTAGCTTTTTGTGAAAAGATCTTGCTGTGGAGGAACCAGACTTCTCCTACCTCCATAGTCTCATATCCTCTAGCTCTAGGTTTGGGTTGGGAATCACGTTTTGTATTTTCAGCAATAGTTCCATTGCAACTGTCATCTCCCAATCATTCGGATGTCTTCTCAAATGAGGCTGCAATACTAATACATCATTATGGATTTCATGGTTATCCATCATCAACTCCTTACCAAGGGCAATGCTGTACAGCTGTAGAATAAAATCCTTCAGTTGTCTCTCTTCACACCAAACATCCAGACCAGAAGGTCCAGAACCTCACATTTGACCCATCCCCCAATACTTTATTTGATGCCTTCCATAAAACCTGAGCAAGATTTTTTGTTTCCTCTTCACGCACCACACATATAAGATTCTGAAAACACAACCTGGATTCCAGTTAAGATTCCTTCTTCCATAGTTAACCTGCTTCCATAAGCAATCTTCTCAGGAGTTAAATTTCTAAAACCACTTACCAAAAGGGCTGTGCTTACCACTTTTAGCTTATTCACTCCTAGTTTCTCTTACAATTTTAGATAATTATTTTGTAGGCAGCTGTAGCTGCACAGCCTGCACTAATCATCAAGCCTTACCCCCCATATGGGGTAGTCTACATGAACCCTGCTTTGCCATTCTGTTCCATTTAAAGCCATATCCATTGTCAAGTTATGAGCACTTGGATGACTAGGAATTAGATAGGAAGCATCCACAATAGAAGAACATGAAAAGAAAGATATAAACCACATACATACCTTTTTATCAATAAAACATAGTTTTATTTCTTTGAAACAAAAAAAGAAAATCTGAATACAACTCTTAGGGTCTATGCACCCTTTTCTAACCCCTCCCTTTACACATTTCTTTTACTTGGAATTATACCACAGTACATTTGATTTTAAATACCCCTCACTTTTCCAAACTATCACCTAAGTGATTAGCTGACCTTGGACACCACCTATATTGGACTCTTATTTCCAAAGACAACATAGATGTTTCCCTTAGGATGTATGAAGAAAATAAAATCTAACACGGACTAACTCAAGGCAAGCAACAACAAGATGCCAATAATCCAGTGTAATAATTACAACTGAACTCTACAGGGGGTTGTTTACTGAAATGATTGTAAAACACTATATTGAACAAAGTAATTGAACTTTACATCCACAGGTTTCAGTCTATCAATTTACCAAAGAAATCATGTCTTCATAACTTAACAAATGCATCCTTGTCACATGAAAAGCATGCTATACCACATCTATGTGAAGAGAGGCTGGCAGAAATATGAGCAAAGTTATTTCATGACAGCGAAGTCTTTACTGACATAAAATTTTTATCAGTATCAAATTATGATAAAATGTGCCACTAAAAATATTATGATCAAATAACTTAAATTAATTCTAAGGAAAACCAAAGTTCTAACCACTTTCTGCACATATACAATAAACTATCTCTATAAATAGTTTCTGAAGATCTTCTGCCATGGCCAAGCATATCAAAGAGGAATTTCAGAATAAGGCATTGAGCAATGCATTCTTGATTCTTCACATTATACCATCACAATGGTGAAACTCGAAAACTCCTAAAATGTTATTGTACATTAATTCAGAATACCCCAACCATACATAAATTAAAGAAAATGAAAAGAAATCAACATTATGGCTTTCAAGATCAAAGACCAGAGAAAGGACCTGATGAATCAAATGGCAAGACAGACCAAACAAGATGATTTGCTGGGACACAGCTAACTAATCTCCTGAACCAGAAGACTAAGAAACTGTCTTCACAGGGTACCTATCAATGCAATCTTCCCAGGGGTTCTTAGGAGATGGCTTCACATGCCGAAGTGATTCCCAGACAGCACTGTTACACTTGAAACCACTTCCAAACGCAATCTGCCAGACGCGATTGCCCTTGCGCATTCTCCCCTTGGCCTCAGTGTAGGCCAACTCGTACCATATGGAGCTCGATGATGTATTGCCGAAACGGTGGAGACTCATCCGAGAAGCCTCGACATGTACTGGCATCAGATGCAGGTTCTTCTCCAATTCATCAATCACAGCCCTGCCTCCGGCATGGATGCAGAAATGTTCGAAAGCAAGCTTAAAGTCCGGAATGTAAGGTTTGACCTTTGAATTGAACAGCTTCTTCACCACCAGGGTCGCGAAAAAGAGAAGCTGCTCGCTAATTGGGAGAACAAGCGGACCGAGGGTGGTGATATTGATCTTAAGGGCTCCTCCAGCAATGGCCATGAGGTCCTTGGACAGGGAGACACCAACTTTACCGGCGTCATCCTCTTCCTGATAAACACAACGGAATGCCTTATCATCAGCCCCACGGTGAGTCCTCACGACATGAACCAATTTGTACTTGGCACGGCGCCTATCGGCGGACTTGTTGGACAGCAAAACGGCGGCGCCACCAACTCTGAACAGGCAATTGGGTATCAGCATCGACTTCTTGTTCCCAAAATACCAGTTCTGGGTAATGTTCTCAGTACTGACGACAACCGCATAAGTGTTGCCGTGAACCTGAAGCATGTCCTTGGCAAGGTCGACGGCAATCACGCCGGCACTGCAACCCATCCCACCCAAATTAAAGCTCCTGATATTCCCCCTCAACTTGTACTTGTTAATAATCATAGCAGAAAGCGAAGGGGTGGGATTGAATAGACTGCAATTAACAACAAGAATACCAATATCCTTGGGCTTCACAGAGGTGTTAGCAAACAGGGTATCCAGAGCACCAAACATGACCTGCTCGGCCTCCTCCCGGGCTGCAGCCATTGACGGACGCGGTGGCAGGCAATGCATCGCTTCGGGGAGGTAAGTCTCATCGCCGAGACCGGAGCGCTCGAGGATCTTGCGCTGGAACTCGAGCGAGGCCTCGTCGAAGTCGCCGATGAGCCTGGAATGCTCCATAAACTTCTGAGGCCGGACCTGGAAATGAGATGGCGGTCGGTAACAAGCGTAATCGACGAGGTAAACGGGGCGCGGGCGGGTCATGACGTAGAGGGTAGACCCGAAGACAAGAAAAGCCGAGCAGACGATGACGCTAACAAGATTGTATTGGAGGTGGAGCCACAGCTGACGAGCATCCTCGGGGTTCATCTGCCCAGCCTGAACTATGATCATCGCCATGAGAGGGATGAGGCACAGAGTCAAGAGGTGACTCACCAAGTAATGGTACCCTAGTTTGACATACTTCAAGTTGACAGACTGCAAGAAGTCGGGCAGTCTTCGGCTCTGCCTGATTTGGACGTCTCCACCGTCAGCGGCGGCAGAGGCAGGAGGAGGAGCGGCGGAAGTGTTATCGGAATCAGCTCCGGTTCCGCCTCCCATGGTTGACTGTCAACGTCTGGCTAAAGCTAAAGCCCAAACCCTGCTTTACCAAAGATAAACTGGATTGTGGGTTCCTCTCTGAGAAGTAGCGAGATTGGATGAAGGATAGCTGTTTATATACTGAACCGAGATAGAGATAATCCACTCGTAGACAATTCTCTCTGGTTAAAAAATTGGAAGAAACAAACAAGAAAAAAAGGGCGGCAGATTAGATGGCTCAACCACAGCAACGACCACGAAGGAAGAAGAGTCACCCCACGACGTTCAAAAATCAAAATTGAACGTACCAGGGAAGGCGAGACTATGAGACCGGAGGGAGAAGATCGTCAACAGAAGCTCCTCGGTAAACGGGAATGGAGAAGATTAACGGTCTAAATAACTGTTTCTGTGTTGGACAATTCCAATCGGGTGGTCTATGTGAGCGACGAGAAAAAATAAAAATTTCTTCTCTTCGGTTTTTCAGTTTTCAGTCAACTGGGGGAGAGGCCAGAACTCAGAAGGCAGGACGCAAGTAGGAAGGTTCAATCGCCGCTGAGCTATATCTGACCTGTGCACGTATGTCATTGTTTGGAAACTGGAATACGAATAATCGTTCCGAATCTTCGGATTTCTAATAGACGCTTGTGTATTTTCTTTTATCACTAAATGAAGAAACACAGCCATCAGATCGGAACTAATTTTAATGGTTTTTGACCGACCAAGTGAGAACTGAGAGAAGAGCGTGGGGTCCCCGTTGAAGAGTGAAGACAGCGAAAGCGCTGGTGGCTGGTGGCTGGTGGCTGGTGGCTGGTGGCTGGTTCCACTTCACTTCCACATCACGTGTGAGCACGTGCAGGAAATGTTGGATTGGGTCTAAAAGATCAGAAGATGAAGAGGTAGGGATAAAATTGGAAATTAGAAGATGAGAATCATAATACCCAACGTTGTGTAAACTATACTGTTATGCGAAAACCGTCTGATTGGTATCAACTAAAGCTACTATATAGGGGGAATCAGTCATGGGGATTACATTATTTTGTCGTCAAATTTGGTGGGTGTTGTATGGGTCTCAGGTATGGCAATAGATTCCAATCCGACGGTTCGAAGACAGGAGAGTACAAAAATGGACGGATCAGGGTCAGACGATTTAAGAAGGAATCACAGAGGACAGTTGGAAGGAGGGAATGCCATAGCCACGAAGGATCATCGATAGTAGTAGTTAAAAACCAAAGGTCAGGTGTGACGATTAATCCAAAGGCTGCCAGCGAGAAACGGTCGAAGACGTCGAAAGTTGAGGAGAAAGGAAGAGTTATTATGAGTACACCTTCTAAACTGTGACTATGTGCGGTGTTGTGTGACTTGACATGTGTCTATAAAGAGAGAGAAGGGAAAAGGCTGAACTGTTTCGTAACTTTTTCACATGACACGATACGTTATGCATTTAATTCGTTTTTTTGGAAAATTCTCGATCAGTACGAAGCCACATCTGCCCCCACTTAATGCGCCCCAAAAATATCCCACAACACATCCTCACCGTGTATTGAAATGTTATTAGTGCACGATGAGGTGTGCATGTGGGGCGTTTTACTCGAGCAGAATCCAATACTTTGGTTTGAATGATAATTCATTAATTTTATCTCGAAAATTTAAAATGCGACAATTCATATCCGAAATTCGATAATCTGGTACTGCCGTTAATGAATTATAAATTAGCACGTGCTATCATATGCGTATGCGGATAAAATAATTAAAAATGTTAAAATTATTCTTATTGATAATTTTAAACCATTTTATCCTCTCTTTAATTTTGGACCAACTTCGGTCCTGGGTTGGAAGACTGGCCCTCCATTGCTGAATGCGCAGGCGGCTCCATATTGCCTTAACAACATACACCATAAACCATAAGTCTCTGACATCGATTTCAACCACATTGACATTGTTGGGTATCTCTTATCCAAGCTTGGCCTCTTAACGGATTTGACTGACTGGCTCTTTTCCACCTCAATTCTAATCGTTTCTACGAATCTAGCTCTTTGATAAGGACTTGATGCCATTTTCTTTAATAACAACAGCTTCTGATTCAACATTCTGGACAACCTCAGAAACTCCCCCGTTTCTGTCATTGTTTCTAACAACAACCTCGGCGGTTGCATCCCCAACAGCATTGGCAAGTTGGGTCACACCCCGAACAAGATCATTCTCATGAATGACAACCTCACCGGCTATTTTCCCTCCGAGATCGGTCTGCTTAAGAATGTCAGCTTCAACCATATCCAAGGCTCGCTTCCGCTCGCCATTGGGTAGATGGCTTACAATATGTTTACTAGAGTTGTACCAGCGGTGGTGTTTTAGCTATCGAGAGTGGAGAACTTTACGTACTCGTTTAACTACTTCACCAATGAAGCACTAGAGTGTAGTGCATTGATCTCTGACGGTGCAGAAAGGGTTCTATCGGATGACCGAAAGAAATGCACTCCTAGTAAACCAGATCAACGATATTCGAAGGAGTGCTCTTTCATTGTTGCACAACCCGTCGACTGCAACAAGTTGAAATGCGATAGTAACGATAGCAAGGGTGGTGCTACTCCTTTCCCTGCTTTGGGAGCAATGATGCACATGACGCAACCCCCACTACCAAGTTTGGCCCATTCGCCCAGATTCTTCAAGCCTCCTCCGCAATAGTCAACCATGTCGAAAGGAGCACCATCGAAGACAAAGCAGCCTATTATTCCACAACCTCCATCCCCGCATCCAATTAACTTGACTAAGCAGAAGCCTCCTGTTAGACATTACTTGCCATCACCACCAATCCATCATTATCCTTATGCACCACCACCACCACCAACTCATCATTCTGGTTACGTCTCACCTCCTCTCCATCTTCCTTCTTCTCCAACCCATCACCTTTATACACCACCATCGCCACCTCCACCACATATTGGGGTGCCGCCACCAACACATCACTATACAACGCCTCCACCCCTAGAAGAATACCTCCAACCAGTGCTCTGCCACCATAAGCTTCTATCTCTCTCTCACCTCCATTTGGGTGCATCATAGAATCACCTCCTTTGCCACCAAGTCATGCTTCCCAACTACCATCACCACCACCAGTTGCCTCCACCACCTCCCCCAATACAACATTGGAAGCACCCCCCACCATCGCATCCTCAAAGCTATCCCACCACCACCAAATCACTACACCCGTTCATCTCCACCTCCCACATTACCTTGACCATCACCACCACCACATTTTGACAATACACCCCTCCCACATGTTACAGGGGTATCCTATGCATCTCCTCCACCCTCGGTAAAGTCGATAAAACAACCCCCGTAATAAGTTACATAGAAAATGGATAAAAACAAAATAGCAAAAAAAGATTTGTTTGCCTTCTCTGGTGCCATCAACAAGTGCTCGTCTTCTCCGATGACGATGTGATTAAAAACATTTCTAATGGCAGCAAATGCATTTTATTCCAGCGATATTTTCCCAATAAAATGGTGAATATCTTCATATGATGCTCTCCGGTGATGTTTTCCCGTTGATTTCAGCTTTTTCGATGGCATATTCCGCTTATTAGCACCAGCGGGGAGAACTAAATTGTGGTTCTCACTTGTACAAAAAGGTTACTATAGTGGAGGTCATTTTCATCATTTCAAAATGAATCAAACTCAGTTATTGAAAATGCGATGGATAATTACGTCTTTTTATATATTAGTTAACAATCCATTAACGATTTTGAAAATTTGGATACTGGATTATTAGATTTTAAAGTTAAGGGACCAAATTGCCACTCGAACCAAAGTAAATGATATTAATCGAAAATTCTCTCTTTTTTGTATGTTGCTTTGGTCTAGGTTCATAAGCTGGTCTTGACCTTACCTATTTTGTTAATGATGAGTATGATGTGTGGGTTAAGCCATAGTTTTTTTTTTTTGATAAGTAGGGTTAAGCCATAGTTGCTCCAACTTTAAGACTTAAAATGCTGTAGTTACTTGTCGAATTTCTAGAAATGATGTCTCTACTCCATCGAATGATTTGAGATAACTAAAGCATTGGTGCCCTTCTTGATAGGTTTGAATATTCATTGCCTGAAACTATTGCCAAAAGATTTTAGAGAAATAACAATCATGCTTTAGAATGGCTTGTGGGTTTTCTTATATATTATATATAGAGGACAGTAAACCATAGGTTTAAAATATAGGGCATTGATGTATTGGATTCCAAGGAGACCAAAAGTCCGTCATGCATTAAAAACATCTTCCTTGTCATTCATGCTAAGATGTTTTTGATGAATTCGGCTTCGGTCATGGCAAAGGCTGTTAGAGCAGTCTTTAGTCTTTACAGCTTTGCATTCAAAATATCTCCCTATTTATATGCTTTATTTCACGGAAAAATATTCCAATGCAAAGTTGCAAAAGGCAATAGGGAAGCTGAACTCGTTTTTTATGTACAACTGCAATCCCAGTTGGGACCGATTGTTGGGACTTGAGACCCTGTGTTGGAATCAGATCTGGACTCGACTTTGATTTCTTATAAGCATTAATTAAATTTATATTAATTTCTTAAGTATATATGCATATTTTATTTCTGCCACCATTTTTTTAACTTTTCAAAGTGTATCCTGATTACTCACATAAATTATTTAAATGTGTTTCTTATGTATTTATAATTTTATACCCAATTATAGTCATTTAAGCATTATATTTAGTATTACTGTGCATCTTTGGGAATTGACATGGAAATTTCACGAGCCATTTATAAGTTTTCATTAGTTAGTTTGGAGATCAAAAGAAGTCATCATGAAAAAGTTTTGGTTGTAAAGGTGGCACATTTGTCTACGACATTTCTTTTAATGGAGTTAAAAAATGCAGAATTAAGGGTTAATTGAACAAAATTCCAAGGTAACATTGGATTAGGGTTAATGTGGACCCCATAATTCAAAGCATGCATGGTCCAGTGGGAATGTTTCATCTCTCTCTCCTTCTCCTTGCTCCAAACCACCCTTCCTAATTTCTTTTTTTTTAATKTTTAATTTTTTAATTTCACATAATTACCCATTAAACCAATAAGTAAATAACATAGGCTTAACTATTTTTAACAACCATAATGAAAAAGGGGTTTGATTTTCTAATGTTTAGTCAAGTGGCACCACTTTCTCCTAAATTGTCTCTAATTCCTATTTATCTCCTAAATTATCTCT